TCCTTGTACCGAGTGTGCAGTCAGCCCTGTAGGGAGGCCCCATTCTGGAGAGGGCATGTTTCTGCACCTGCTTCTCTCAGCACTGGACCCCAGGCCCATGTCCCCTCTCTGTCCCCTGCCCCCTCTCTGTCCCCTGCAGGCTCATCACCAAGGCTTGCGTTCTTGCTAATACAGACACCAACTGGAAAACCTCCTTAGTTAGATCCATTAATTTGGAACTTACTGTGGCTTTAAAACTGGGTGAGCAAGAATCATTTAAAAAAAAACAACAGTTTTCATGATGAAAAACAAATACAAACAAACAAGTAGGAAGGATGACATAATAAACCTCCCGTGTACGCATCACCTAGTTTTAAAAATTACCAACTCACGGGAGGGCCTGGGTGGCTCAGTTGGTTAAGCATCTGATTCTTCAATGTCAGCTCAGGTCAGGATCTCATGGTTCATGAGATTTTGCCCTGGCGTCGGGCTCTGTGCTGACAGCGCAGAGTCTGCCTTGGATTTTCCCTCTTCCTCTCTCAAAGAAAAAAGAAAAAAAAAAACCTACCAACTCCTATGCAATCAGTATTTTTCTTCCCCTCCCTGATTATTTTGAAACAAATTCTAGACACCCTATTTTATCTATAACGGTCCTTTTCTTAAAATACAAGGCCTTGTGGGGCGCCTGGGTGGCTCAGTCGGTTGAGCATCCGACTTTCACTTAGGTCATGATCTCACGGTTCGTGGGTTCAAGCCCCGCGTCCGGCTCTGTGCTGACTGCCAGCTCAGAGCCTGAAGCCTATTTCAGAGTCTGTGTCTCCCTCTCTTCTCTGACCCTCCCCTGCTCACGCTGTCTCTCTCTCTCTCCCCTAGAAATAAATAAAAATATTAAAAAAAAAAATACAAGGCCTTGTAAAATCACTGGTTCATAATAATGTTATCAGATACCTAGCCAGTGTTGAGAATGTGATAGAAGCACTTCACCCACTTAGGGAAATACGTTGCTGGGGAAAGTTACTAAGAAATTACGGGAGGAATGGTTTGATTTATTGGAGAGCAGCACCCATTTAGCCAGACCCATCGTTCACTCTGTTGTATGAATTCTGAATATTGTCAATTTGTCCTTCGGTCTAACTTGACTATATTTTGGCAAAGGCTTCTTGTTCCTTTTGTTCCATCAAAACAGGAGCGCAGGGCCCAGTGCACCAAGCCTGGAATCAGACAGGTTTTGAGTTCAAAGCCTGACTTTGTGTGACTTGGCCTAGAGTCTAGCTCAGTCTCCCGTTCTCCGGGCCCTAGTCTGTAAAAGGGAGCCATGGACCCCACCATCATGGGCAAGGGGAGTCTTCTGGCCAGCGCTGACTCTGAACTTGATCTTTTTAAAGTATTTCTCAAGTGTTAGGCCCTTCCCTAACTGACCTGTTTTCCATCCCCATCTAAGCCAGTGACACTTCTCTGAAAAGGTGACAGGGACTGGAACTTCCTTCCTGGGGAGAGCTCTCCGAACCGCATCCCTTTCCGGGTATCCAGCTCCTGTGCTTCCTGAAAGTCTTGGTTTGCTGTTTAACTCCTTCTGCTGTTGAATGGGTGCTCTCTCCCTCTGTTCTCTCCTGGGGGGGTGGGGTCTCCCCAGGGATAGGGGATAGAAGGCTCTGGGCCTTCACCACCCCCCAGGTCCCATTAGAGAAGTAGTTGCCCAGTGGTTGCTCTGTACTGGCAGCTGCCCCAGGGCTTGGTAACTGCCCTTCAGAGCAGGGCAGGCAAAGAGGTCAGAAGCCACAGGGAGCTGGCACCCAGGGCAAGAATTAGGTGGGTGAAAACCATTGCTTTCATTGCCAAGAAGCATCACTCACCAGGTTTATCAGCTCCTGGGTGGATGCGTGGTAGCTCTTGTGCCTCTAGGCATTCTCTGGCCTTTTCTGAACAACAGATGTTGGGGTTTAGGCACTCTAGGCTCTGCCCAGGATCTAGAGCCCCATTGCCTGTAGGGTAAAGGCACTGCTCAGTCATAGCGGGAGCGGATACACTGGAAAGTGGAGTGGGTCCCTGGGCCACACCGCAGCCCTTTAGTTGACAAGGGAGGCAGGGGAAAGGGATTTGGGAGGGGGGGTTCCCATGATCTCCCCAGCGCTGAATATTTATAGCTGTTACCATCATATCATCACATCGAGTGCTGCTTGTCAGCCCTCCCTGCCTGCCTCCCCCGATCCTCGTCCGGACCCCTGACGACCTGGGTAGGAACTTCAGCACGCACTCCACGCCAGGTGCCCCGATTCACGTGCCTTACCGCTTCCAGCCCTCACAAAAGCTGTGTCGATTTCCACAGGAGGAAACTAAGGCACAGAGCAACGAAGTACCCCACCCAGTGCTCTTAGCTTACATTTGGACCCCCCCCCCCCAGCCCTCAGCACACACAGTGCCCCGGCCCAGCTTGTGTCGAGCCTCCGTAGTCTGAGAGTTAAGCAGGGGTCTTAGGAAGGGAGTACTGGGTACAGTTCCCAACATTGCCCCATGTGCTGTGGGCCTGAAAGAAATTAGGTAGCACCATAAGTAATAGAAACCAGGCCAAGGGCTTAAAAGACAAAGGGCCTTCGTGGCTTCTGTTGTGTTTTTATCAGGGTTGGGGGCTTTGCTGAAAGGAGGCTTGGAGGCCTGAAGGAGCCTGGCTTGGCTTCCCAGGATTGGGTGTGTGTGTCCTGCAGGGGTGGGGGCTTCTCTGTCATTGGGGGTGGGAGAGGGCTGCCAGGAGGCCTTTTCTGTCATTGGTTGTGTGGCCCTGCCCTCCCACCCCCTCCTTCTCCTGGAACATTCCAGACATTCCAGACTGCCATTGCTTTCAGGATATGGATTAAAATCCCAAACTGAGATTTGATTTCCTCACCTCATCCCCTCCCCAACCCTTCACTACCCTGAAAAGAAAACCCCCCCGAAACTGGGAAACTGGGAGTTCGAAGGAGGAGGGGAGGGTACTGTTGCCTTTGGACCGGAGATTACACTCCGGGACCATCTTGAAAGAGCCATCTTCAAACCGAGCCCCTGTCCAGGGGCTGCTTTAACCCCTTACAGGTTTGAACTCCCTGGCAGGCGGCCCCTACACCTCTTCCATCCGGAAGAGTTTGTTAGGGCCTCCTCCTTCCACTTGAGTAACTGCTGTCTTTGGCCTCAAGCTAGACCAGTTGTCCTCAGGCTTTGTGGAATAGTGTGACCATCTCTCAGTCTTCCAACGGTTGGACTTATGTTTTGTGAGGGCTCTTGAGTTTTCTCTGCCCGTTTGGGCACGACATGAGTGTTGTATGGGCCATCCCTCCCAGGGTCAGACGCCATGGGGCTCCCTCTTTTTTGCCTATGGAATGAAATCAAAGAAGGTGGCTTGGTATGGGGATCTGAGGACCCAAGGAACTGGACTTATTTTTTATCCTACTCTTTTGTCCTGCACTTTTATCTGACTTTAGGTCAGATTCACGAACCAGTCAATGAAGAGAGCCATATACATAGCCTCTCAACACCTATTCTAAAGTTATTTCGTCCCAGGGAGAGGTTCTCTTAGCGTATTTCATCAATACTTCATATGCTCAGAGCTGCACAGCTAGAAGGTATCAGAGAGACCCTTTGGTTTCCATTTTGCAGCTGAAGACACTTGAGGTCACACAGATGGAATGAGTGAGCTGGCTCAGGACAGAGCCAAGAGGGAAGCATTTCAGTTAGAGCTTAGTGTCCTTTCCCTCATTCCCAAGTATTTTCAACCCCCTCGCCCCAGCGCCCCCTCCAGCTTGGCAAGAGCTGACATGGGCTTTGTAAGAACACTGAGGCCTGAAATGTACTTGACTTATTAGTCAGATGAAGACCCGATCCAGGTAGTTTAAGAGCTAGAACTGGATTTTCTTGCTTCCCAGGCCAGTTGTCCCTCATGCCATTAGAATTTTTTGGACCTTGTCCCTGAACTAAGTTTGTGATCGAGGATGTATATGTGAAGACCAGATGACAATTGACCGATGAAGATCAAGTCAATTGAAGTGCCCTAAGCCCAGGGATTAGGGCATTGATTTGGGGGATGAGCAGTTAATTGCCCTAGGAGCTAGGAGTCAACCTTGAACCTAAAAGTCTTCCTGCGGTGGGTGGGGTGGGAGAAACGGACTACATTTTTAAGAGGTGTTTGAAAGCTGGGAGGGAGAGGGTGTAGTCATTTGGGAGGAGGGGACTTGGTGGTCATGATGGTGTGTTGCGTGTTAACCATTTTCACCTTAGTATTCCAGATGCCTCTGCTATTACACTTCTGAGTACTTGAAGCCCTTTGCGAAGCTCTAATGTTACTTACCTACTGGCTCCTAAAACCGCGTGAATAGGGATTATACCCCTTTTACAAAGAAAGGAAAGTGAGCCCCAAAGAGGTTAAATTTTAAGATCAGTGCTATTAAAAGTGGAATACAGATTTAAATCCATACCTGTATAAAAACCACTTGACTGCTCTCTTATCCTGTTGTAATTTGTTTGCGTGTATGTCTCCTCTAATAAATTGTGAGCACTTTGAGGCCAGGCACTTGGTTTTGCTTATCGCCAGCTCCCCAACATCTGGAGCCAAGTCCAGCATGAAGTAGGCAACGATTAAATGGGTATCAGATTAGTGACTGTTTTCTGTAGCAGCTTTGTATTCCTAGTGCCTGACACATAGTGGGAAGTAATCGATGGAAATAGATGGTTGCTGAAGAAAAGGATTGGGAACGCTTAAGTAGAGGGGTGGACACAGCAGATGTGATTTCTTTTTTAAAGGAATTCCATGGCCCTGGTGCTTAGGGCATCTGGTTTCAGGTTCCCTGTCTGCGGTAGCACTGGTCATTTACTCTCTAGAGTGAGGCACCCCTGCACCAGTTCTTCTTCCCAAAGGTTATCATTGTTGGATTCTCAGACTTTGGTGTTGAGCAGAAGGGAGGGAGATAAAGACTGGGGCAAGGATCAAACACTGCGGGGTCAGAGGCCCCAGACGCATCCGGGGCGGTCACTAATCCTGTTCCCTCTAATTTCAGGAGTCGGAAAATCCAGATTCGAAATATCCCACCCCAGCTTCGTTGGGAAGTAAGTGATTGGGGGAGACTCCGTGGGTGGGGTAGCAGAGACTGGAAGGAAAGCCCCGGTCCGTGTGAGTTGGCAGAGATGGCCAGGGAGGCTCGCTGGCAGTTGGGGGTAGGCTGGGGAGGCCATTGCTTAGGGACGTAGCTTGGGTCTCATCCTCAGCCTAGGACTATCAGTGTGAGACCTTTGGGCTTGGCCCTGTGATGAGACACATTATAGAGGGGGGAGGTGTTCCACAGGCCCCAAACTCCATGACAGCAGAAGTTGATTTAGGGACCTGGCAGCCCAAGTCTACTTCCAAAATGGCCCTTCAGTGCTTTTTTTGTGCTCTGGCACGTTTCTGTAAAGAGACCCCGAGAGGTCACCGCGAGTGTTGGTACCCTAGAAAGAGTAAGCTGAACAGGTGATAACATTCAGTCCCCACCTAAGGCTCTGCTTGTGCCGCTGTTGCTTCGGGGTGAGGGGTGTCCGGGGCTGGCCTTGTGACAGTTCCTGGGACGCTCAGAGTGCCCTTCCTCCTTTCTCTGTGCTCCTAGGTGCTGGATAGCCTGCTTGCTCAATATGGTACTGTGGAGAATTGCGAGCAAGGTAAGAGTGCAGAGGTGGTGGGTGGCAGGGAAGAGGGGAGTGGGGATGGGAATGGTTTGGGGGATCTGCTCTGCTTCATTTTCCACCACCAAATCTACCTTGACGTCCTGAAAGAAGACGGGCAGAATATGGCGTGAAGGGAGACAGACACGCCACAGGTGGGCTGTGGCCATGTTCTCCTGGCTTTGACTGTGGCCTTTATCCCTGGGACAGGTTTCTCCTGTTAATGAGCAAAGTTGCTCATTTCTAGCACGGTGTTCCTAGGCGCTTAGGGATCAAGCACAGTAGAAATAGATAGAGGTCCCGAGATGTCAGCAGTAGTTTAAGAATGGAAACTGTGCCCTCAGCCTGGGTAAGTCTGTAGCCCTTCAACTCTAAAAGCTTCATGATGCTCTGGGTTTGGCTGGAATCGTCCATCAACTGGTTGTCTCTTTTTAGAAGCTCTGATTCTCAGCTACATGTTTTGGGTCAATTAAAAAAGGCAGAGAATTTATTAATTGGCACATAGTGATGGGCAGGCATAGTCTTTCAAGAGTGGGCCCACAGCAGAAATAATAAGAAAGCAGCCTAGGTCATGGCCCATTTGGTATGATTGCTGAGAATTCTCTGTTGCTTAAGATTAGAACTGATTTTCAGAAGAAATGAGCTAAAATGTGGAGTGGTTTTAGCTGGGCATACAGTAGAGCTTGGCCATTAGAAAAGGTGATACGATTTGAGTTTGTAGATCTTTGAGAGATGTAAATCATCACCTCATGAAGATGTACATTTTCCTCTCAACTCCCTGTGGAATGGTACCAGCTAGAAATAGCACTAGATGAAAATATTTTTGCCAGTACCAAGGGCAAGTGCTCAGTCCTTCAAACTGGGTTCTCCTGATCTAATCCTGGAGCCTGCCTTTTCATCATAAATATTTGCCAGGACAGGACTGGACACACTGATAACCGTTGCCCTGTACTGCTCATGCGTGAGCCTAATGACGGAGTTACTCCTGGACAGATAGCAAGACTGAGCGCTGGCTTGGGGGGGCACATCGAGAGCCTCGCCAGGCAGCCCAGCAGGAGTCCACATGAGTTTAAATCTGACCGCAGCTCACCAGGGAGCGATATCACAAGCTGTATCAGGAAGGGACACCTGCCCCCTGGAGAGAACGGAATGGGAAATGGTTGACTTTGTTGGACAGGAGAGAGCGCCTTCTAGTGTCCTTTTTCTTCCTGTCTACTGTATTTAAAATCGTATCCTTTACCCCCACTTCCTTTACTCTGATTTCCAGTTCTCCATGGCATTTATCAATGTGTGATAATCCTGTAGAATTTGCTTATTGTCCTTCCTGCTGTCTGCTCCAGCTGGAACCTAAGCTCCAGGGACCAGAACTTTGCACTGACTTCCGTTTAATGGGAAAGATTATTCTTGGAGGATCCCCATCACCGTTATGGTGGGGGAGCTCTGCGGATGAAGGCCAGAGGGGTTGAAGAGTGGTCTGCATTGAGGATTTGTGGCCAAGGGACTTCTCAGCATGGTTCCGGGAGAGGCTTGGTTTTTGTCAGTGTCTTCCACCCCAAGGTGGCCCAGGAAACCCCAAATCAAAAGACAGTGATGCCCAAGACTGGGCATTTTATTGATTCAAAATGAGAAGTGTGTCCCCAGATTGCCTGGCCAGTCTCCCTTTGGAAAGACCTAGAGGTTTCATGATGAGAGCCTAGGACGTTGATGGGATTAATGGCAGGTGCCGCGAAGTCATGGTAGATTGCATGTGCATTTCCACTGTCAAGATTTTTGGAAATTGACTCCCCATCAGGTGCTCCTCTCAGCCCATTTAATTAGGTCAAGACGCGCTCGCGTTCAGTTTCCCTGTCCTTGAGGTTGCTCCGAAGTGGGTGGGAGTCTCTTCGCCGTGTTCTTACAGACCATGTCTTGGGGGGTGTTTGCTTATACAAATTGCTGATCTTAACTTCGTGGGTGTGGCCTTTTGACTAGTCTAACTTCTCAAGAGTAAATTTGTATTTGTCCCGCGCTGGGTGTGTGTGCCTGTAACTGCGCTCCTGCCGCCTAGCTGCTGCTGCTGGGTTGATCACACCGATTTGTTGCTCAGACTCTTTTTGGGCTGGGTAGGGGCATCAGAGGAAGACAAAGAAAGGAAAATGCAAAAAAGGTTCATTTCAGTTTTCTAGTTCTGGTGAGAGGGGCCCAACAGGGAAATATTTTTGCCTTGTGACTCAGGTATTTCCTTCTTACAACACTTGTGACTTCTTATAACCTGGAAAGATGAGCTTGTAAACACCTGGGGGTTCGTTGGTGGCATCTCCAGGTCTCCCTGCTCTAACCTTGGCCTCTGTTTTGCTCCCTCAGTGAACACGGAGAGTGAGACGGCAGTGGTGAATGTCACCTATTCCAACCGGGAACAGACCAGGCAGTGAGTGGGCCGCAACGTGGGGCAAGGAGGGTCTTTTGTGGGCTGTTGGGTGCCAGGTACCCCCGCTTCTACAGGGTTGGGGTCCTGGAAGGCACGAGTTCCTTCTTCGGTTCTATTATTGCGATAGCCAATCCCAGACTCTTGTCCTTTGGTTCAGGCATCTCAGAGGTTCAGAAACTCACCAGGGACTGATAGCAGATACATGGAAGGGAAGGGACCCAAAGACCTCCCAGGAAAGTTTGGCTTTGGCCCTGTCTCTCCTTGCCCTGGACCCACAGAGGCCCTTTGCCGTGTTGATGGTTCCATCTAGTGAGTGTCGGGCAGAACTGCGAGCTCTACATCTTCTGATGTAGTGGGGGCAGACATTTTATTGCAACGATGCCACAAGCCCAGTTTATGCTTTTTTGCAGGATCCTTTTGGCCTCGCCACACCCACAGTTTCTAGTTCCTTAAGCCCTTTGGTTGAGCAGTTACGCCGCTCACCCACTGGTACCAACACACTACATTTTGTGAAGTTACTCATTCATATCCGACCTGTTACGGGCCTTTTGCCACATTTTGCTTTTGATGGCTTTCTGGTTCCTGCCTCATGCTGCTTTCATCCTTGCGGTTTCCTCCAACCTAGCGATGACGTCGTCAAATCCCACTACTTCCTCAAATAACCATCCTCTTTTATTTTTTATTTTTTATAAAGTCATATTTATTTTTAAGTAATCCCTACATTCAGCGTGGGGCTTGAATTCACGACCCTGAGATCAAGAGTCACGTGCTCTTCCAGCTGAGCCAGTCAGGCGCCCCTAAATACTTTTTAAAGTCATTTCTCCTCCCAGTGAGGGGCTTGAACTCACGACCCTGAGATCAAGAGTTACCGACTGAGCCAGCCAGGAGCCCTGCCCCCAGTTTCCTTTGGGCTGGCTCTTGGACTCAGAATTTTCTGGAGGTCCCCTACTGCCCTGTGTGGCCAGTGTATGGTCGTTAGCCTGGCTTTAAAGGTCACATCGACACCCTCTCTTCCCGTTGTTGCCTTGTTGATATTTCTAACCTGTGCCACCCAGTGTGGGACTGGTTGGGGCATGGCTCACTGCACACTGTTCTTCACCCCTGGGTTGTAGACATTCCTGATATACTGCTTCTAAGTGGTAAGCACGGCATTGTGGCTCTTTTGTGTGTGTGTGTGGTATCGTGAAGTATGGAAGGTGCCAGACTCCGTAGGCATAAAATCAAGCCTCTTGTGTCATCCCGTTTTTATTAATTACATTTAGTCGCTATCAGGAATGACCTGTGATTCTCACATTAATCTTATGATTAAGATTATTTTTTTAAAAATTTTGTTTATTTTTTGAGACACAGAGAGATAGAGCATGAGTGTGGTGGTGGTGGGGGGAAGCAGAGAGAGAGGGAGATACAGAATCCGAAGCAGGCTCCAGGCTTCGAACTGTCAGCACGGAGCCCGATGCGGGGCTAGAACCCATGATCTGCGAGATAAATGACCTGAGCTGAAGTGGGATGCTTAACCGACTGAGACACTCAGGTGCCCCAGTTGAGATTATTATATGGCTGAAATTAAGAAGCCAATTGCAAACCACCTATTTAGGTTTCCCTTTGTCTTTAGCCATTTAGACTAGAAAGTTCTCTGAGGTGGAGGTTGGTAGGGTGAACAGGCGGTCATCTCCCTTGCTTTTCGTGTTTTCCAATTCGTAACCCAGTGTGCTTTACACATGTTGGGGGGGATTTGCTGTGGTTGGTGTGGGTTGGCATGACTGCGAGATTCTCCCTCTGTCCTCAGAGCCATTATGAAGCTGAATGGCCACCAGCTGGAGAACCACGCCTTGAAGGTCTCCTACATTCCCGACGAGCAGATAGCACAAGGCCCTGAGAACGGGCGCCGAGGAGGCTTTGGCTCCCGGGGTCAGCCCCGCCAGGGCTCCCCTGTGGCAGCAGGGGCCCCAGCCAAGCAGCAGCAAGTGGACATTCCCCTGCGGCTCCTGGTGCCCACCCAATATGTGGGCGCCATTATTGGCAAAGAGGGGGCCACCATCCGAAACATCACGAAACAGACCCAGTCCAAGTGAGTCTGGGCCACTGGGAGATGGAGTTGGGGGCTTTCTGGAAACACAGTGAGGAGCCTCAGTATTGATCCCGTAGGAGATATCTTGCCTGGGACATGTTCCCTTTCCTCTTCATTCAGGGGTCACTACTTCAGTCATGGCCTCCAGGGAAGGCACGGGCAGGCAGGGGGATTGAATAGGCCCGGGGTGGGCCATTTGGTGCCAGTGGCAGGGACACACAATCCTTCGTAAGAGGGGCTCTATAATTTCTTGTAGAAAAGGCTCATCAAGCAAACCCAGTCTTGGTGAGACAGCCTCTCTGGTGTCCTGTGGTTTTGATACTGCCTATTCGTGGCCACAGGGCCCGGCAGCCCGGCCAGAGTTGGTCCTCGGGAATAGGTCAGAATCCTGCCTAGTCCCATCCCCAAAGCTGCTCCTCTAAAATCTTTTTTAAGTTGTACTTTATTGTTTTCATTTGCATATAGTTGACTCTTCTAATCGTTGTGTCTGACCAGTGTACTCTGGAAAAGAACAGGTCACATGTCCATATTCTGTTCTGAATGCCTCCTTTATTATTTACTTTGGGACAGCACACCTTCCCTTTATAGTTGTTGCACGAGGAGAGTCCAGAACTTAAGGGGGGGGGGAAACGCAGCTTTAGAGCTGTGGGCTGATGTCCGCCAACCCTGTGTTCCTGTGCTGGATGCCACCCTTGTCCCCCACCATCCCCTGATTGAGCCATTCCGGAGCAGCGGGCTGCCTGGCTCGCCCTGGCCCTCTCTCTGCCCCTCCTCATTCTTGGGATGCGTTCCAAGAGCCCCTTCTGTACCTTTGACTGAGAAAAGGTGGCTTGAGTTTGAAGACTCCATGTTTCGCCAGGGACGCCTAACCACCTTTGACCTTGCCGTCCTCAGGATAGATGTACACAGGAAGGAGAACGCAGGCGCCGCGGAGAAGGCCATCAGCGTCCACTCCACACCTGAGGGCTGCTCCTCTGCATGTAAGATGATCTTGGAAATTATGCAGAAGGAAGCAAAGGACACCAAAACGTAAGGCTCTCACTCAGCGCCTCGTAACGAGGGGGTGCCACTTCCCCTGCCGCACTGCGAACTGTTAGCAAGAATGTGGGGATAAATAGATAAGATAAAAACTGGGAATCAGGGTCCTCTTTCCCACAAGTAACTCTGCGCATACACACTCTTGCCAATTCTGTACACTCACACGAGTGTTTGTACATGGGTGTGCTGGGCACGGATGTGTGTGTGTGCTATGTACCCACCTCATTCATTCTTTTTTAAATTGCATGGGATTCTGTAGGATGTGGTTATGTGAGTACACGGGTGGGTCGGTTTTAATATGCATATACCTGCAAAGGCATAGATGCTGTAAGGAGCACAGCCATCAATCTGGTCGTCCCTCTTCCCCTGGCACAGCCCATCCCCTGCTCCCACATTTCTGGAGCCCGCAGCAACCACCAATATGTTAGTTTTCGTTCATCTTTTATTTTTTATTTATTTTTTATTTTTTTTAAATTTTTTTAATGTTTTATTTATTTCTAGGAAGGGGGTGGGGGGAGGGTCAGAGAGAGAGGGAGTCACAGACTGAAACAGGCTCCAGGCTCCGAGCTGGCAGTCAGCACAGAGCCCGACGCGGGGCTTGAACCCACGAACCGCGAGATCATGACCTAAGCGAAAGTCGGACGCTTAACCGACTAAGCTACCCAGGCGCCCCTCGTTCATCTTTTAAAATGTAATTTTGTCCTGTGGTTTGTCCTGGAAACCCCATATCTTTGGTGGCGAGATGACCGAGGCCGAGTCTGAGCGTGGCCTGCCTTTTAAGGAACCCTTATCTGTCGCTTCTTCCCAAGGGCCGACGAGGTTCCCCTGAAGATCCTGGCCCATAATAACTTCGTGGGGCGTCTCATTGGCAAGGAAGGGCGCAACCTGAAGAAGGTGGAGCAGGACACAGAGACGAAAATCACCATCTCTTCGTAAGGCTCTCATTTACTTCTTTATGTAAAAATTTTTTTAATTTTGAAGAGAGAGCACGAGCAGGGGAGAGGGGCAGAGAGACATTTTTAAAACATTTTTTTAAATGTTTGTTTACTTTTGAGAGAGACAGCGTGAGCAAGGGAGGGTCAGAGAGAGAGGGAGACACAGAATCCAAAGCAGGGTCCAGGCACCTGAGCTGTCAGCACAGAGCCCGATACGGGGCTCGAAGAGTGAGATTACGACCTGAGCTGAAAAGTCATGTAGGCGCCCTGAGGGAGAATCTTATGTAGCCCCCGACCCTGGGATCATGACCCCAGCCCAAATCAAAGAGCCTCCCAGGCGCCCTTCATTTACCTCTTTATGAGCGGGATGCCCCGGGGGCTCGAGGGCAGCAGTAGTTATTTCCTTCCTGAGCCTCACTACGTGGCCCCTCGAGGTGGCTGTGGTTCCTGCCCATCAAAAAATAATGAGTGATGTGGCCAAGAGCATTTATCTCTGTGAGCGCCGGTGTTGTGAGAGTGCATCTCCTCAGTCCTCCGACCTGTGTCCCAGAGAAACCGCAGCCAGGAGCCAGGCTTCGGGGTGTCACACCCACCAGCCAGGTGGTGAGAAGGGGCCTGGCTCTGGTCCTTTTCTGAGGAAGGAGCGTGCGCTCTACCTGTGCAGCCCCCCCCCCCAGGAAACCCAAGTCAGGCAGCTTGATTAGGTCTTCGGCGAGTGCTGTGCCTCTTTTTATTTCGGACCTGCTCTGTTCCCAAAGAACAGGACATGGATTGCCTAGGACCACCGGGGGAACTTCCAGTCCTGAGCACCTTCCTTTCCTTGCCTTACCGGTGATGAAAAGCTGTCTGAGTGGCCTCACCCCACATCGAGGGGTTTCCCATTGGGTGTTTTCACCTCCCTGCACCTCGCTCCCGGCCCTGGTTATGGACCGATGGCCAGAGACAGGGAGCTATTTGCTGAAGGGGAAACTGCCTGCAGGAACGGCTTCTGTGGTTGGTGACCAGGCGGGTTCTAGTCCTGGTCCCCGCCTGTGGGTGGACGGGTGACGCGGCTCTGCTCTCCCACCAGGCTGCAGGACCTCACACTCTACAACCCCGAGAGGACCATCACCGTGAAGGGCGCCATCGAGAACTGCTGCAGGGCCGAACAGGAGATTATGAAGAAAGTTCGGGAGGCCTATGAGAACGACGTGGCCGCCATGAGTGTGAGTGCCACACGCCTCTTCTGCTCACCACTCCTCTGAGCCTGAGCCACAGAGGAAGGGGGTCTCCACGTGGGGTGGGCAGACCACGTGCTTTAGGACCTCTGTTCCTTGGGATCTTTTAAGTATAATTATTTGAGATTCTTTATCTGATTCCTGGGCCGTGGTCAGGTCTCCTGGGCCTCAAGGTCTGTGATCTTCCTGAATGGTTCGTGTTGATGTGTGTTTCAGTGAGCAGAGGGTCCATTGTTTTTGTCTGAGCAAAAAAAATTATAATGTTTGTATATCGAGAGAGAGAAGCAGAGAGGGGAAGGGGCAGAGGGAGAAGGAGACACAGAATCTGAAGCAGGCTCTAGGCTCCCGCTGTCAGCACAGAGCCCGACGCGGGTCTCAAACTCACGAACTGGGTAAGCATGACCTCAGTCGAAGTCAGATGTTCAACCTATTACTCAGGCAGGCATCCCTAAAAATTTTTTTAAGTTTATTATTTTTAGAGAGACGGTGGGAGTGGGAGAGGGGTAGAGAGAGAGGGAGACAAAGAATCCCAAGTAGGCTCCGTGCTGCTAGCGCAGAGCCCATCATCTGATTTTGTTTTTACAAGGGTGTATGATTTTTATTTTATTTTCCATTTAATTTTTTAAGGATAAATAGGCTTAAATTGTTTTTTAACGTTAATTTTTGAGACAGCACGAGCGGGGGAGGGGCGCAGAGCGAGGGACACATAGAATCCGAAGCAGGCTCCAGGCTCTGAGCTGTCAGCATGGAGCCCAATGCAGGGCTTGAACCCACGAACTGCGAGATCCGAGATCATGACCGGAGCTGAAGTTGGACTTCTAACTGACTGAGCCACCCAGGCGCCCTGGCCCCCCCCCCACCGCCCCCCGCTCCCAATTATCTGATTTTTAAAGGGAAGTGAGGATGGCGGGGAGCGGGAGATAAAGGCGAGTCCTGGAAGTTAACAGAGAACCGTCCTCCCTGTGCTTTCTTTGGGATATTCCAGTGCAGGGTTAGCGGTGTAAGCCTCCAGAGGTGGGACTGGGGTGGGGGTGCATCGGAGGCAGTGCTGGACTCTTGGGTGGCATGGCTGGTTCTTAGTCCAGGCGTGAAGTGCCCTCACTCACAAGCTCACGCTCTGAGTGTGTGTTATAACCAGAAGGGCAGGCAGGTTTTTGCCAGCAGAGCACCTGTTCTCCTGTGTTCCCCTCCTCCCCCCTCCTTGCCCTCTGGGCTCAGCCACGCCCCTGCAGGGGGAGCTGACCTCTTCCTCCTCGCCTTCCTTCCCCAGCTGCAGTCACACCTCATCCCCGGCCTGAACTTGGCGGCTGTGGGTCTTTTTCCAGCCTCATCCAGTGCGGTCCCGCCCCCGCCTAGCAGCGTCACTGGAGCGGCTCCCTACAGCTCCTTTATGGTAGGTGCCGGATCCCATCCCAGGGGACCCCTGGGCCCTTCCGTGGCCTCCCTTGGGGCCCAGCCCCACATGGGAGCCTAACACTAGGGGAATGATTTGCAGGGAGAGGGAGGGGAGGTTTGGGAGGCCCCTTTGTGCCAACTCCAGCCACCGGGGCCGTCCCTCGGATGCTGCTGGGGATGCCGGTGGCTGGTTTTTTTCCCCTTGACCCTTGCTGCGCGAGGGAGAGCCCAGGAGGGTGTAGCCACCCCCTCCCCGTGCTAATAACACACTGTGTTCCGGCAGCAGGCTCCAGAGCAGGAGATGGTGCAGGTGTTCATCCCCGCGCAGGCGGTGGGCGCCATCATCGGGAAGAAGGGACAGCACATCAAACAGCTCTCACGCTTCGCCAGCGCCTCCATTAAGGTGACCTGCTCTGTCCACCCCCAGGGCCCAGGAAGGCGGGGCGTTCCTTGCCTCCACCACCTCAGACCCTCTTTCCGGACGCCTCCATGTGGCTGCCCTTGAGTGGCCTCTTCCTCTGAGGGATCGCAGTCCCCTTTGCTTTTGCCCTTGCCCTTGCTTCTGGGCTTTGAGACTGCGGGGGTCGGGGCGGGGGTTGGGGAGCGGTACCCCAGCTGGGGAAGCACAGATTGACCTGGGTCCCAACCCCCCACCCCAACGCCACAGGCCTCAGCCTCCGTTTGCTCATGACTGTCATAACACTAGGGGACAATGAAGCCAAGGCCCTGGGTTCAGGGTGCCTGGTGCACAGTGGTTGCTGGAAATGATGGCCGGCTGTTCACCTTCCTTGGCCAGGGGCCCATGCAGAAAGAAGGGAGAATCTTACCTAGTGAAAAGAGTGGATGGATTTAACAAGCCTCATTCATCTGCGTCGTGGTCTTGGAGGAGCCCATCAGATGCAGTGACCCTCCCTGGGGAGGGCGGTCTGGTCGCCTTGTCTGTGCCCCACCCTCCCTGCAAGGGTGGACCATGGGGAGACCCTCCTAGAAACTGTCACCGGAACACACTCCCCACTGCCCTCATCACAGTTGGGTGGTTGCAGGGGCAGTGACCTTGGGATTCAGAGACTTTGTTCTGCCTCCTCTTACCCTCGAGAGTGCGTCGTGGAAGTGGGGTGGCGGGGGGCACCTCTTTGACCAGCTGGTTTTGTTTTGTAGATTGCTCCTCCTGAAACTCCTGACTCCAAAGTTCGTATGGTCATCATCACTGGACCCCCGGAAGCTCAATTTAAGGTTCTCATCTTCGTTCCTCCAAGCTTGGCGCAGGACTTGAGGCTGGGCGGGAGTGCAAGTTGGCACAGTACTCTTAAAAAAAAAGATAATTTTTTAAAATTTTTAAACGTTTTTTATTTATTATTGAGAGAGAGAGACAGAGACAGCATGAGCATGGGGTGGGCAGAGAGAGGCTCCAGGTTCCAGGCTTGGAGCTGTCAGCAGAGCCCAACGCGGGGATCGAACTCACAAACCATGAGATCATGACCTGAGCAAAGTTGGAGACTTAAACCGACTGAGCCACCCAGGAGCCCCATAAAACCAATCCGTTCCTTTAATTTTTTTTCAAATTATCATTTTTAAATGTTTTTATTTATTTTTTGAGAGAGAGAGTGTGACGGGGGGAGAGGGAGAGAGGGAGACACAGCCGCTGAAGCCGGCTCCAGACTCCGAGCCTGATGCGGGGCTTGAACTCGATAACCGTAAGATCACAACCTGAGCTGAAGCCAGACGCTTCACCGACTGAGCCACCCAGGCACCCTGATTTCTTTGAGTAACCTTTATACCCAGTGCGGGGCTTGAACTCAACGACTCTGAGATTAAGTGTCTCCACAGGATAAACCATTGCAGTGCGACTCTCAATTTGGCATCACACTCAGTTTCTGTGGACTTTCTGTTTCCTTCTTCATGTCTGAAGGTTTACAGGAACACGGGCCAGAAGGAAGCCCTCGGGCTTCTTTCTCGTGCTCTGCCTTAGTTACCTAGGAAGATCCTTGATGCCACATTCCCTTCTTACCTTTTGTGTCCAACACCAGCTGCCTGAACTTCTGGTCACATGACCCAAGAGCTAACAGGGAGCACATCCCGACCTAGGCAGGGGTGGAGGATGAGACAGAGTCTGTGGCCTGTGGGGAGTGTCCCGTGGCCTAAAGTGTCCTTTAGGGCCTTGTTCAAGTAAATGGGATCATCTCAGACTCTAGAGGGATTTGTAGTTAGTTGATGAATTGTTCTGGGAAGTATGTACTCATTACTCTGCCCCCGCCCTCCAGTGTTACAAGTAGACAGAAGAAACAAGTCATTGCCAGGAAAAGGTCATTTTCACTCAACCTGGTGTAGATGGTTGATCTACTCCTGGGTTGGCCGGGGGGCAGCACAGGAGGGAGTTCGGGGACTGGACTTCTTTGTTTCCCTTGTTTCCCTTTTGTCACGGGTACGGCCGGCCGCTTAACAAGGACCTCCTCCTCTCAGGCTCAAGGGAGAATCTACGGAAAACTCAAGGAGGAGAACTTCTTTGGTCCCAAGGAGGAAGTAAAGCTGGAGACCCACATCCGGGTGCCGGCGTCAGCCGCTGGCAGGGTTATTGGCAAAGGCGGCAAAACGGTGAGCCTTGAGGGCCGGGTTCGAAGTTCTGGCTCTTGGTCTCCTCAGACCCGGCAGCTCTGCTCTGGCTTCCCACCCCCCTACCCTGCACAGCCTTAGGACTCCTGATGTGCTCCTTTGCCTACTTCGCCTCAACAGCCCAGCTCCGAGCCCTCTGGTTATCCGCCGGTGACTTACCCCGCTTGTCCCTCCCTCCCTCCCTCCCTCCCTCCACCCCCACCCATGCTTTCTTGGTGGCGCCCTGAGCTTCTGTTCACCCCGCTCCACGCAGGTGAATGAGTTGCAGAATTTGACAGCAGCCGAGGTGGTGGTGCCGAGAGACCAGACCCCTGATGAGAACGACCAGGTCATCGTCAAGATCATCGGGCATTTTTATGCCAGCCAGGTACATATGGCACTCGGCTGTTGCCGGAGGGCGCCAGGAGCCCGGGGCTCGGAGAGGCTAGACTCCAGATGTTGACCTCCGTGGCCTGGATGAATCTGATGCACTCTGCCTGCCTCTGGGCCGGGTCATTTTCTTTTAAAGTTTATTTTTAGAGAGAGAAGGGGAAGAGAGAGGGGAGAGAGAATCCCAAGCAATCTTTGTGCTGTCAGCATAAGCCTGAGGTGGGGTCCAACTCACAAACTGTGAGACCATGACCGGAGCTGAAATCAAGGGTCAGACACTTAACCGACTGAGCCACCCAGGCGCCCCTGGGTCATTCTTTTCTAGGTCTAAGAGGGTGACGTGTAGATGTCTTATTCCCTCTTAGGGCTGTGGGAAAGTGACCCGAGAATTTCATGTGTAGTGTATATTCTATATAATAACTTGTATATAGTTTATGTTCTTTGTCATCGATTAAGAGTGTTTCCTACTGTCTGAACTTAGTGCTTCTCGCCAACACCTTCTGTACAGGATAAGAAAGGAAATTGGTACCCCCCCCCCCAGTCTTGCTCATGAAATAATAACGCTAATAACCTGTTCTCCATGGCCCTTCCGCAGTACAGTCCCTTTGCCTTTCTCACCATGACTTTCGCATCCCTGCTTCCTTTTCTTCCACTGTCCCATTTCTGAACTCACCATCCCCACACCACCTCCAGGGAGCCAGTCTGCCCTGCCCTGCATCGGGGCCGGCCCCAGAGTCTGCATAGGAGGGGAGATATCAGGTTCAAATACTCTGAATTTCAAAAGTCAGAGAAGGACGATTGCAAGGTAGTGGGGTTTGCCTACAACCCTCCAGTGTTGGAACTAGAAGGGACACGGAGACCACTGGGCACAACCGCTTCCTCTTAGAGGACAGGCCTTTCGCAGCGGGCCGGTGGCCTGACACTGTTCTCAGGCAGTGCCGGCACCACGAATCCGGGCTCTTGGCTCCCAGTGTGTGGTGTGGCGCTACAGCAGTGGGAACCTGGGTCTTGGAGGCAGAGCACTTTGAACTCAAACCTCCCGTGCATGGTCTTTCTGCCGTATGGCTTTGGCTGAATTTCCCGTGACCATCTCTGGAGAGGAATTACCAAGCCACGTATCGGTGGCTACATCACATACACCAAGCAGCATTCTATGTGGTTTACGTACACTAACTCACGTAATCCCCATAACAGCCTCCTTTTACAAATGGGGGTGTGAGCTTAAGAGGGTAAAGGATGGATCCAAGGATGCCCAGAGTCAGGATGTATTCAGTACCAAAGTGGGAGTATTTTTTCATTTGTTAGGATGAGGATTCGAGAGGAAAGCTCTGTAAGCCGTCCGTGTGGGGCTGACCAAGGAGGAGGTGATAGAAATATTGAGCCCACGGTCTTTCCCTCAACCCAGACCGCCTTTGTATTTAACCAAGAAACCAAGCACTCCTTTTACGGGAGGAAGCGATTCTGGTAAATGGTTACCTGTGTCACATTTTGCAGTCGATTCCCTTCGTACCCATCTTGGACGGTGGAGCTTTGGTTTCACTGCTTATTTCTAAGCCTGTCTCTGGACAGTTCATCCCCTTTCCTGGGGACGTGTCCCTGCGTGGTGGCGCAGTCACTGGGGAAGTGGGCTCCGCTGACAGCACATACTCCCGGAAACGCCCGGAGTTTGGTTTGGGGGTCAGGAGTGTGTGTGGCGACCCTGTTAATCGGAGGCCCTCCCTCTTGCCGTTCGTCCCTTTTGTCCTACAGATGGCACAGCGGAAGATTCGAGACATCCTGGCCCAAGTGAAACAGCTGCACCAAAAGGGACAGAGTAACCAGGCCCAGGCACGGAGGAAGTGACCAGCCCCCTCCCCGCCGCGGCGACTCAAGGACAACGGGCTGAAATCGAGAGCGCGTTCTCCCCAGCAGGCCTGAGAATGAGTGGGAATCAGGGACACTCGGGCCGGGATGTAGATCAGGTTTGCCCACTTGGCTCGAGGAAGGACGTTCCAGTGAGGAACCCTGATCCCTCGGCCCCACACGCCCAACCAATTGGCCCGACACTGCCCACCCCTCAGGGTGTCACCACGGAAATTCTAGCTCAGGGTGCTTTTAAACGTGGATTGTTGAAGTAAGTTCTCCAGGTCCCACCAAGAAAGTGGGTCAGGCCCCAGTGGGAAGAGAAATAAAATTTCCTTCAGGTTTTTAAATCATGCCGAGGGGTGTTTTAATCAGCCTCAAAGGATGGTTTGCTTCTCGACCCTAAAAATCCTTCCAACCCTCTCCTACTTGGTTCGTTGATTAAAATACCTCTATTCTCGTGCCCTGACATAACCTCTTCCTATATAGCCTCTTCCTGAAGTCACACTAATTGTGTTATCCGTACCGCTGCGGGAAATGGTGTGGGAGCGACTGCAGTGATTTGCTTACGTTATTGACTCAGAGGAGCAGACGCACCAGCATCGATAGTTTAATTCCACTCCTTCCCTAACCAACCGGTAGGAACAGCAAGGCATACAGAGCGGGGGAGAGATGTGATTAAAATATATAGTAATCCACGTTTAAAAGGAGGGCCCTTACGGCTGATCTAGTCCAGACCCACCGTCTTGAAAAATTGGCGCGGTTAAAATGTTCTCCACCCTGGCGGGGACCTCCCCACCAAGATTCCCTGCCCCGTTCACGTCCTTCTGCCCGTCGAGGTGCACGTGGGCGGTACTGAGCGCTCAGCGGGATGGGGGCTGACCACTGTACCGTCCCTGATTCCCATCATTCTCAGGCAGATTTTTATATTTTTTTAAAGTCTATTTTAATGATTGGATATGAGCACTGGGAAGGGGACACAACTCCCCTTGATAAAGTCTCAGTTCCATGGAGGACTCGAGTGGCCCCAAAGGCTGCCACTGTGGCCCTCGCTCCAGCCCATGTGCTCCTATAAGGGCTGGTTCCCAGAGGCAGGGGTTGCGGGGCACTCCCCCCCCACGGCACTGTTCCCTTGGTGGAGGTGGGATGTGGAACCCAACCCCCAGCTGCCGGTAAAGCTGAAGTCCATCACCTGGCATGCATTTATGAATATTCAGTACATTGGAGAGTATTTGCTTCTGTCTTTATCCTAGAGGCACATTTAACCGATGGCTTCTGCCTCCACGCATCACCGGCGTGACGAAAGTCATGCCTGAAAGCAGAATTCTTGATACCAGCCACCTCATGCACAAAAGTGGTAAATAAGCTTAATTTATTAATTTACCAGGCTCAGTAAGATCCCTTTGGAAGTTCAGCCCTTGTGGAAGACAGCAGCCATCAGTTAAATGAGGTTGGGCCTTCCCTCCTCCTATACTGATTGTCAATGCATATTAGCCGGGTGGTGCACTTTAGTCAGCTACCTTGGACAATGCGATCAAGTGTGCTGGGAAGGAAGGAAGGCCTCTCTGCATGTGGAAAAAGCCCATGCGCGGAGTCCCCTCCTTCCGCGACACTGCAACGACGAGAGACAACCATGACACGTGGGCGGAGTCAGTCAGGTAATGCTGTGCGCGAAGTAAACTACCTCAAGGTATGAAGTTACCTCAGCAATTACTTTCCTTTTTGTTCCCCCCGCCTTTTTTTAACCTTTTTTTTTTTTCCTTTGCGGCTTGCTGATATTTTATATAAAAAAGAAAAGCGAAGCAAAAGAGAAGCTGATAGTCTTGAATATTTTATTTTTTTAATGAAAAGAAAAAAAACGAGAAAGTTATGTTTCATAATTTCTTACAACGTGAGCCAGTGTAAGCCTTTAGGATCTCTCTATGGAGAACAGGCCCTGGGGGAAAGGCAGCAGAGGCTGGCTCTTCGGGAGGGGGCTGGGAACTCAGCGGCCGCGAGGGTGAGAGGCCCTGATCTCTGAGTCCCGGATTCCCAAGCCACTGGCCTCTCCTGGGACGTCCCGCCTGCTGGGATTCAGAGACCTGGCAGAGCTGTGGGCCTCCAGTGGCCCAGCCGCCGGCTCAGGGCGTCCACTCTCTCCCTTTTCGGTTCAAGGGCATCCCGGCCAGTTTTCCCCACCAGTGGTGCTGTTGAGATATTTTAAAATATTGCCTCCGTTTTATCGAGGAGTGAAAGAATATCTAAAAAAATATATATACCCATTAAGAAAAACAAAAACCCTCTATTTCTCTTTCTAGAAGTATGGGAGCCAAGATTCCGTTGGTGGAAGAGGCAAAGCTGCTCTCTTAACCCTCAGAGAGGCCCACCTGGTTTGTCATCGCAGTCTTTTCTTTTTGTGGCTGTTCTTTTCAGTGCCGTCTTGCTGTTCCTTTGGGTCTGTGTCAACAGACCAAGGAGCAAACAGACACTCAGACTATTGCCCCTTCGTCTCTTGTCATCTTTAGATTGATCTGATTGGTTCTAACCGTGCACCCAAGCTAAAGGACTTGTCGATTTAGGGCGGTGGGTGCAAGAAGGGGTCAGGGGTATGGGAATGTGACTGGGGACAGCTTCCTGCCTCGCTCGTGTCTTATCCCTGTGTCCCCACGACACTTCCTTTGTAACCAACTGTCTGCCCCCAAAGAGAGGAGGAAGCAGGAGTGCATTTAGGGGTAATATCAGGCCAGTATAATTGAGCTTCCCACCTGTCGTAACCCCCCAAAACGGGTCTCCCTACTTCCATCTCTGGCTCTCTATGCTTTATCCCAAAACGAAGGCAGGTAACATTCAGACATCGGCCATTTGGTGATTTAAGGCGAATTTCCAGCAGCAAGCATGCTTTAATACCCGGTTCAAACTACCAGCAGAAAAAACAACAAAAAACAACAACAAAAAACCCCACCCACAGTACCTGAAATGTGATTGTTGCAGTGTTCAGTTTCCTTGGGATCCTGCTCCCTTCACACCTTAAGCCCACGTCCTTTTCCTCCGGCTGGCTTGGCGCTCGGCAGAGGCCAGGAAGTGTGGCAAGGGACTGTCAGACGTTAGGTGAATTAAGGCATGGCTTTCCTTCATTGCCGACATTTGCCCAGCAGGAAAGTTGTGCAAGTTAACCCTATCAGAAGCAGAAGGAATATGGTTTGGTGGTTAAAGTTTAGCGGGATCAAGGACCTGTCTTGGCGGCCCGCCTTTGACCCTTTAGGCTAGGACTTGGGGCAGCGCCTTGCCCTCCTGCACATCACCTCCATTTCCCCATCCTTGGCGAGATAAGTCAACTCGGAAAGCACTTGGGAGATTTGGATGATCAGAGAAAAGTGACTTTTGGAAAACCACTTCTATACTGGAGAGAGAGAGAGAGCGCGAGATATATATGTGTGTGTGCGTGCGCTACATATATATTTTTAAGAAAGGACCATCTCTTTAGGATATATTTTTATTCTGTGGAACACACCAGAAAAAAACCAAAATGGTTTGATTTCACTAACTTCAAAGCTGCATCTGACAGTTAACACCCGGATGGCTTTAATCCCCTCGAGGGTCTGGTTGCCTTTGGCAGTGTGGGTCGTGGCCTCGGCTCTGGGTAGGAGAGAGCCCCGCGGAGGGACCGAGTTTAGCCCCTGCTGCCCTCCCCCAGGGCCTTGTCCAGGCCTCATTCCTTTCCCGTGAGCTCTCCGCTTCCGGGGGCGGTTGCGAGCTATTCTTAGGTCTGCCTGTTGGCAGAAAAGACCCCATGTAAAACCCAGAGAACACTGCGGGGGACACTCCAGGTGGCCCTGTTGTCCATTTTCCTCTGTGCCAAAGACAGACAGAGGCTGAGAGAGGCCGTCTCTGAATCAAAGCAGTAGCCGTCTTTGAACATCCACCTTGGGCCCTCTGAGAGGGGCTCCTGGAAACGTGTGAGCTGAAGGCCCGTCCCTTCCGCCTGAGGCTCCTGGGGACTCGGGGGCGGTACTTAACTTGCCAAGGGGTAGGGAGCCGAGAAAGGGGTCCGTTGGCTCCTGGTTGCACTTTGGGGAGGGAGGGGGAAGCTTGGGGCTCCTCCACGCGGGGCTGCTCTCCGTCCCCTGCCCCCACTGCAGAGATAGCATGGCGAGTTCCCTTCAGGCCTGGCAGACTGGCAACGAGGAGGGGCCTCAGTTAGCTCTCAAGGGTGCCTTCCCCTCCTCCCACCCCAGACGTACCCTCTGCCAAACTGGGAACCGGCAGTGCTATGTAACTACCTCACAGAGCCCCAGAGGGACCGCCCGGACTTCCGGCACCTCTAGTCACCCCTTCCCCTCCCGCCTCCCAGGGTGGGTCGGGGGAGGTGGGCCATCCGTTTCATTCTCCTGAAGCTTCCGGGGAGATCCTAGTGGCTTTGACATTCAAACCGTGCAACTGTTTCTTTGCCTGTTTGTTGAGAACAGGCACAAGGAAGACCGCACGGCCTGACCACCGTGCTTGCAGGAAGATGGAGAACAAATCCTCAGTGCCAGGGGACGTAAAGCCATTCATTTCCCTTCCAAACGCTCGATGACATAGATGCAGAACATTTCTTTGGACTCAGACGTTTAGAGTTAACACCAGCTGAAAGCTTCGGTTTCTGTCCTTTGGATACATAAGGCTTCTCTATTCCGGGGTACAGGGCAGGGAGGAGGCCTCGTGACCGAAGGTTGGAGGTAGAGGGGGAGGGCCAGGTCCCAACCTTGACCCCTGGGCCCGTGCACCTCCTCGGGGCACAGCCTGGCGATGCCACCATGAGCATGGTGTCTAGTATGCTTGAATCCGGACTGACAAGACATGGAAGAATTTGTGTTTTCTTCAATGGACTAGCAGGAAGTTCCTTGGGAGCGTGTGTTTTTGAGTCACCACAGGTGATGGACGCTACGAGTAGAAATGGATTAACTACCTCAATCCTTACAGTAAGATTGGAACCGAGGGGCAGGGACTCGTGCATAAGGGTATGAATCCCAGCCAGGAGAAGTGAGTTGAGGCTAATGCCGCAAAGTGGTTTGTTCTCAAGGAACAGGCAGGCCTGCCAGGAGCCCCCCACCCCCACCCCTCCCTGTCGATGGGGCCGGGAGGTCTGGCAAGTTAGGTCCGCCCCCCCCCCCCCCCCCCCCCCCGCCTTCTGCCTTCCTTGCCCCGGGGTCCAGTGTGTCACCCCTTTCCCTTTGGCTCGACCTCCTCTCACTTGCTTTGTCCTGTGTCGCTGGACCAGAGAGGCTGGCTGGAGGTGAAGTTCAGGGCTCTGGCCTGGAACCCAGCACTCAGCCATAGCGTCCGGAAGCCTGGGGAAGCCAGAGCAGAGAACTCTTTCAACAGGGTTTCTTTGGGACGCTGCACCTCCGCTATATCCTCAGTCTTCACGGGGACAGTTGGGTCAAGAAGAGGTGGTGTGGGATCCTTTGTCCTGAGAGGGTCCAAGGCCCTGGTCCTCTGGTCACTCAGGCGTCTTTGTAGTCTGGGGGTGGGGGGTGGGGGAGTCCACCGGGCGATCCCCGCCCCTCCCCACCCTCTAATGGACCTCCTCATAGAAGCCCCATTTCACTTTTGTTTTATCTACCTCTTAGCAAGACAATAGAGATAAATTAGGTAGTGGCGGCTCCACTTGCTTAGGTTAGGGGGGGAAAAAGATTTCTTTTTCCAAAGGAAAAAAAATATTACCTTAAAAATACTTTCCAAAAAATTTAAAAAACCAAAAAAAAGAAAATAGTAAAAAAACAAAAACAAAAAAAAAGAGGGAGACATTTTCCAGTGACCACTGGATTGTTTTTAATTCCCCAGGCTTTTTTTTTTTTTTTTCCTTCCCCCATAAATAAGTTTCACTCTTCGGCGAGTTTCTCCACTTTTTTAAGATAATGTGCTATCCTGACTGGGATAGCGGTCACAGTCTGCCCCCCTGGCCTGTCCCACCCCCCACCCCCTGTGCCCGCCAGCGAGTGCTACCTGTGTTCCCCCTGATACCCTCCTGGCCAGGTGACTTCCGTCCCCCCGTCACCAAGATTAAAGACTGTGTTGGGGTGCTTAAGTCTTGACTCCCCCTTTCCCTGTGGGGGTTGGGAGGCCACTTGTAACACGTCCGTGTAAATTTTATGTAACCCACTGCAATGTAAAGGTGTTCAAAATGAATTTTCAGCAGATGATGAGTTAGCATAACAAATAAACATCCTCTACCGCCACTTGGATTCTCCCCTTCGTCCAGCATCTCCCTCCCGGTCCGGGAAACCAGAATAAATCAAAGGAGCCCTCCTTCCCCAACGCACAGCGAGTGAGGCTCCAGTGCTGAGACCTCTCCCACTCAGGAGAGTGGAAAACGTGTTTTCGGAATGCGGATCCTGGTGGCGGCCGGAGGGGGCTCCCGCACGTGACTGCGCTATCCTGTTCTGTAATTCGCGGCCGCTTCAAAAATTGTACTTGGCTGGAAGTCTGCCAGCCATCGCCACGGTATTTTGATTGTACCCTTTCTCCCACCCTTTAATCTGTACTTTGCTTTGTCCGGGGAGGTGGGGCGGCTGGCTCAGACTTTGCGAATTTGTTCTTTTGCCGGACAGGCACGTCAGCCTTTCCCGTGAAGGTTGTTTCAGCTACAGCCCACTTGATTCTGCTGTTTCAATTTCAAAAATAAAAGGAAACTTCTATCGAAAGCCGTGTGTGTGTGTCTGTCTGTATCAAGAGTCTTTGGGGTCGGGTAGCTAAGATGCTCAGACCTCCAGCAGCCGATTTCAGCGTGAGACGGTGCCTTGCTGTTAACGTCCTTTGCGCTTTGGGATATGGCTTCCGCCACTGAACGTGTTGTGGAATCGTGCAGAGCAGCCTCGGTGGCTCTGGAAATGAGGAAGAAGTATTGCTCTCCTTGACACCTGCCCCAAGAAAAGCTACGCGGATGGTTTCTTTTTCCCTCCGGGTTTGTTTCGATCACAGTCTACGGTGACCCTGCCCTCGCCTGTTTGTCTTTCTGAATGTCAGCCAGGCGGTGGGACACAACCTAGACTCCCAACACGGCAACCCTGATTCTTGGCCCAGCCCCTTCTGCTCTGACATCTCTCAAAGGTGATGTGACGGTCCTGAGCAATACCATGCTTAAAGAAATGTTCTAGGTCGGGGCGCCTGGGTGGCTTAGTCGGTTAAGCGTCCGACTTTCGCTTAGGTCACGATCTCGCGGTTCGTGGGTTCGAGCCCCGCGTCCGGCTCTGTGCTGACTGCCAGCTCGGAGCCTGGAGCCTGTTTCAGAGTCTGTGACTCCCTCACTCTCTGACCCTCCCCTGCTCGCGCTGTCTCTCTCTCTCTCTTAGAAATAAATAAAACATTAAAAATTTTTTAAAAGTTAAAGAAAAAAGACATGTTCGAGGTCATCTGTTTAGACCTAGGTCTGTTTGGACCCTAAATAGCTGGGTCTAGCACCAGTTATGGTGGTGTGAGGTCTGGTGGCAAGGGAACACGCTTAGAATGGAATGATCCGTTCCTCCCACTTTATGTCTGTCCTGGGTATTGAGCAGATCTGTGAAGACTTCACTTCCGCCCAGGACGGTGGGTAATGTCTGTCTACCCGTCTATCTTTTCTCCTTCCAACCCTCTCCCTCCACATCTTTTCTTTTTTTCCCTACTTAACCCAATCTTTTTTTTTTTTTTTTTTTAGTTTGTTTTGAGAGAGCGAGAGTGTGAGCGAATGGGGGAAGGAGAGGGAGAGAGAAACACAAGCAGGCTCCGCATGTCAGCCCAGAGCCGGATGTGGACCTCGAACGCGTGAACCCCTAAGATCATGACCTGAGCCGAAACCAAGAGTCGGATGCTCAACCGACTGAACCACCCAGGCGCCCCAATTCCAATCTTGTTTGAAAAAGTTTTGAAAGCGGATCTTGGATGAGTTAAAGTCATTAGTCTGGATTTCGTGTTGCTGTTATTTGTGCCTCCCCAAATTAGATAAATGTTGGGACATGATTTTCAAGTCCTGGTGGAAACTTCACACAGGAGGTGAATATTTGTTCCCTGCCTTGTTTCGGGAATCATTAAGGTGGCTTAAACATGGGAATAAATCCCTGTGGATACTTTGCTAATAATGGTCAGCGTGTGTTGGGATCAACAGTGTGCTTCTACACACACTTAAGGCATCCGTGGCCTTACATGATGGTAACTCTCACGACAATCCTAAAATGAATGTTACTCACGCTTTATCAATGGGACCGAAAACCAGAGAGGTTATGTTACTAAAGCCACAGAGCGTTTGATTCTAGAAGCTGGACCTTTATAACATTTTTGTAATGTTTTTTTTTTTTTTAATTTATTTTTAGGAGAGAGAGCACGGGAACAGGGGAGGGTCAGAAAGAGGGAGATACAGAATCAAACAGGCTCCAGGCTCTGAGCTGTCAGCACAGAGACCCACACGGGGCTCGAACCCATGAACCATGAGATCACGACCTGAGCCAAGGTCGGACGCTTAACCAATTGAGCCACCCGGGTGCCCCAAGAACCTGGACCTTTAACAGTACAGTTAACTACCAGCTCCGCAAGACAAACCTTCACTGGTGTCTGAAACACGAAAACTATTTCATCTGCCGGTTTGTGAGAACCCCCTTCTTTTCACCCCTTGGGTAAGTAATCAGTGGTAAATTCAAAAGCGGCTTTTTATATCTTTACTGGTCGAATCAGTCAGACCTGGCTTTGGCCTTGCCTTCTCATGTGTGCGTGAGCTTGACAACTTTGGTGCCCAATGTGGGGCCCATAAAGGTACGGTGCCCTTAAAAGAAGACTGGAGGCTGCATGGGCCAGGGTAGGGGCCACTACGCGTGCCCCAGGGCCTGGTAGTGTAGCCCTCACCTAAGTCGTGGGCGAGAGGGCAGGAGTCCTCCCTATTTGGGAACTGCGTGGGTCGTGGGTCAGGTAAGAGCATAGGACTTTCTGGAACCTGGTAGTTAATATAATACCACCTGTTGATAGACATTTGGAGGTCAAGCGGCTAGAGGTAGGATCGGTACTTCCAGGGGTTAAAGGGTGAGTTTGAGGCTGAGTTGATGGCCACTTAAAACCAAAAGGAAGTATGGAGCCCCTGGGTGGCTCAGTGGATTAAGCGATTAAGCGTCTGACTTCAGCTCAGGTCAGAGTCACACAGCTCCTGAGTTCGACCCCCACGTCGGACTCTGTGCTGACAGCTCGGAGCCTGGAGGCTGCTTCAGATTCTGTGTCTCCCTCTCTCTCTGCACCGCCCTCCCCCCGCCCCACTGCACACTCACACTCTCTCTCAAATCTAAATAAACATTAACAAAAGGAAGCACAATTCCCACAGTGTCTATGTTAAAACTTCTTGGTTTGTGTTTCTGTTGAAGAAAATAAAAAAGAAGCACCTAATGGAGTTTGGGCAAAACACTTGCAGGGAAGCAACGGGCGGGGCGTGGTGGTGCTCGTGGTGCTGGAGGTAAAGGTGAAGTAAGTTTGCAAGTGAAGGGTCCAGACCGTTTAATGTAGGAGCTGTCATAATTGGTACTGAAATGTGTCGCAGGCTGAATCTGAATGCACGCAATGTGCTAGAAAATTCTGCTGTCCAAGATTTTTGGTCTACGATGATATCTTTTTTTTGAATCTCTGCATAGGAAGGTTTTTATTTTTTCCATTGTACATTATGTCCTATTTGTCTATAATAAGCATGTATAGTTATATAATATTTATTTACTTATTCATTCTTGAGAGAGAGAGTACATGTGTGCTTGCACACAGTGGAGGAGGGGCAGAGAGCGAGGGAGAAAGAGAATCCCAAGCAGGCTTGGCGCTGCCAGGGCACAGCCAGACGTGGGGCTCAAACCCACGAATCATGAGATCGTGACCTGGGCTGAAATCAAGAGTTGGATGCTTAATCGACTGAGCCACCCAGCTGCCCCTTTATTTTTTTATTGATGCAAAACTGGTATACAATGTTATGTTAGTTTCAGGTGTGCCGCACTGCAGAGAGATGCTTGTACACTCCCTGCAAAGTGATCACCATGATAAGTCTAGTTACCATTCCTTACCATACGGTTGACCCCCAAACCCTTTTCCCCACTCCCAACCTTCCCTCTGATAAACACCGGTCTCTTCTCTGTGTCTCTGAGTTTTGTTTTGTTTGTTCAGATTGATTGTTTGATTCCACATGGAAGTGAAATCGTGTGGTATTTATCTTTGACTTATTTCACATAGCATAATATCCTCACGGTCCATCCATGTTGTCACAGATGGCGACGGCATTCTGTTTCTATGGCTGAGTCGTATTCCATTGTCTATATAGACCACGTCGTCATCCATTCATCTATCAATGGACACTCAGGTTGGTTCCATATCTTGGCTATTGTAAATAACGTTGCAATGAATATAAGGGTGCATGGATCTTTTCGAGTTAGCATTTCCCCTTTCTTCGGATAGGCACCCAGAAGTGGAGCTGGAATTGCTGGACCATAGGACCGATCTACTTTTAATTTTGTAAGGAACCTCCACATTGTTTTCCATAGCGGCTACACCAATCTACATTCCCACCAGCAGCGTGTGAGGGTTCCCTTTCCTCCACATCCTCCCCAACCCGTGTTATTTCTTGCTTTATAATGATGTCTTGTTGTTTGGCAAGTTAAAGATCCCATTCTTAGTGGCCTTGGCTGCCTGCCAGGGGGCGACCACAACCAAATAATCCCAACAACTCTCGAGGCCTGCCTGCCAAGTAACGTGTCTCGAAACAATGAATTTCCCTGACAGGCCAGGAAAAACTGCTGTTTTTTCACAAAGTAAAAAATTCTGTGTTCCTAATTCAAAATTTGTAACTCTTGGCAGAAGTTGGTCAACGTTGGCCTATTTGTCATGCTGTAAAAGAGGCTCTATTCGTTTCCTAGGGATGCTGTTACAGTTACCTCGAAGCTGGTGGCTTAAAATAGTTCTGGAGGCCAGAAGTCTGAAATCGAGGTGTCAGCAGGTCTGTTCTGGAAGCCCTTAGACCTACGCCTCTCTTCCAGCTTCTGGTGCTTGACAGCGGTCCTTGGCCCTCATTGGCCTGTTGGCAAATCACTCCAATCTCTGCCTCCGTCTTCCCATGGTCTTCTCTGTGGCTCTGTCTCTGTGTTTCTGTTGCCTGTGAAGACAGTCGCTATTGGACTAATGGCCCACCCTCACCCAGGATGACCTAATCTGAAGAGCCTTACAGACGTCTGCAAAATCCCTTATTTCAAATAAGGTCACATTTAAAAAAATTTTTGTTTCTAATGTTTATTTTTGAGAGACCGAGAGACAGAGGATGAGCAGGGGAAGGGCAGAGAGAGGGAGACACAGAATCCAAAGCAAGCTCCAGGCTCATGAGCTGTCAGCACAGAGCCCGACGCGGGGCTCAAACCCACACATGTGAGATCATGACCTAAGCTGAAGTCAGACGCTTAGCCAACTGAGCCAGGTGCTCCCAAATAAGGTCACGTTCTAAGGTTCAGGGTGGGTATATCTTTTAGGGGGATGCCATTCCACCCACACAGAGGCCATACTACACGGGGCTTGGCCCACCTGCCCCTGACATGTTGGTTTTATTGGATTTCTAACACCTCTTCTCCTGGAGGTTGAGGAGATCACAACGTCCTTTCGGAAAAAGATAGGTGAGACCCTGTAGCTCAATGAACTAGCTATGGTACAGGATGCTTGGACTCTGGTT